AAAGAAAGAAATCTTGAGACATAGGGGTAGGTAGAGAGTTCATGAACAAAAAACTGAGGGCCAGGCATATAGGTCAACGGCATAAGCACCTGTCTGGCAAGTGTAAGGTCCTGAGTTCTCTATCCCTGGTACCACAAAAAACAAATAAATAAAAACAAAACTGAATGGGCAATACTTCAAAGAATCAACAACTAGGATCTCATCTTTTTGAAGTTTCTGTATTTCAAAAGAAATCTCCAACAGAGTAAAAAGAAAACTCATGAACTGGGAAAAAAAATTCTAGCCAACTGTCCTTCTGACAAAGGCCTTCTATCTAGAACATTTAAAGAATTTAAAAAAAATCAGGTTCCCCAAATTCAAAGACCCAACCCAAGAAGGGGCATCTGAGATGATTATACACTTCTCAGATGAAGAAATACAAATGGCAAATACATATATGAAAAAACGTTCAATATCATTGGTCACTCCAAAAATGCAAATTAAAACAACACTGAGAATCCATCTCAAACCAGAAAGAATGCCTATCATCAAAAAGTCAGCCAATGACAAATGCTGGAGGGGCTATGGGAAAAAAGGAACCCTTCTCTGCTGTTGTATGTAGTACACACTGGTGCAACCACTATGGGGAAATCAGTGTTGAGATTCCTCAAAAAGCTACAACTGGAGGTCCCAAATGGTTTACACACACATATATACACATCGTATTGTCCCTTAGTGTGAGAACCTGAAAAAGAAAATAAATCTGAAGTGTACAATAGATAGTAGGAAAAGAGAATGAGCCTGTTCAAAAGGAAATTACTGAGTTGAGGAGAAGGACAAATATCTACATATGCAAGCAGGATGGTTTGGACAACTATACTGCAGATTTTTGCTGGTCTATGAAAAGGAGCTTAATTTGTTAATTTGTTTTATTTCCTTTTTTCAATTCTTTGTTTAGGGCCTGAGGAGATAGCTCAGTAGAATAAGCACTTGCCTGCAAGCACAGGGTCCTAAGTTTAATCCCCAGTACTGGGAAAAAAAAATCAACTCTTTGCCTTTTTTCTCTTCTTAATTTCTTATATATTCCAATTTTGCATCCATGTATCTGGTAATATGAGCAACTAATTTGAAGACAACATTATGCATTATAACAAACAATGTGAAATTCATACTATTGTGTTTAATGAAACTCTGTATCAATTGTAATTTTTCTGTTTTAATATTCATTCTTTCTTTCTTGAATACAGGGTCTCACTATGCAGTTCAGACTCACAATGATCCTCCCTAGTTCAGAGATTGCCACCATCCCTGGTTTCAGAGCTAGCATGGCATGCCCAGGGTCCCGAGGCCAGCACAGCATGTGGTACTGGAAATCAAACTCAGGTCTCTGATCTTGCCAGGCAGGCACTTAAGACTGCTGGACTATCTCCCCAGCGCTGTTTTAATATTACTATTATTATTATTATTTTTTTAAATGGTGGAACCAGGGATTGAACTCAGGCCCTTGTGCTTGCCAGGCAAGCACTTATTCTACTGAGCCATCTCCCTGGCCCTTTTAATATTATTTTGTTCTCTCTTTAAAAACTAATTTTTTTAGCTCAGTAGAATAAGCACTTGCCTAGCAAGTGCAAGGGCCTGAGTTCAATCCCCAGTTCCGCCAAAAACAAAACAAAATACAAAAACTAATTATTTAAAATGAGTCCATAGGAGAAAAAAAAGTGTAAAATAAACATGTTCGATGAGAGTGAATGAGAAATAAAAGTAGGAATAAACTGTCATTACTAGGAAATAAAAATAGTACATATGAAAAATGCAGTCATTGACACTATAAACTTAATACATGAAGAGCCAAAAGCATGTAACTGAGTAAGATAAAAATATCAGGCTTATGGTATTCTGTAATATACATCTGGAAGAGAGAAAAGACATAAAATGAAAAATCAAGGCCTATATAATAAACAAAAGGTATGGAATAGAGAAATAAGGGAAATCAACATTCACATAGTAATATATAAAGGACAGGAAAAAAAATGAATGAAGATAAGTAAAGACATACTTGCAGGAATAGTGACTAAATTTCATAGAGAAAAAATGTAAGACCTCAAACTGAAGGGAATTAAAGACTATCCACTTTAAAAGTTATGAATGGATGGTTGAAAGAATGTACGAATTAATGTATTTAGAGCTAAAAATAATGAAACTTCAGAAATCCAGAGATATCCCCTTCCCATCCTGAAAGATGCACTCCCTAACCCCTAGGTGTGCATGTGTACAGGGCAGCTTCCAGAGGAGAGGGATACAAGCAAGGTAAGAAGCTCCCACACACAAAGGACTAACTCACACAGAATGCTGGAACACTGGCGATGTTCAAAGGATACCCACATGGGGAGGCTGCAAAGGAGATATAGTCTAGCAGGTAAGCAAAGCAACTCCACACATAAGGTTTGCAAACAGTATGAGGAAATTTGCTCTAGGTGAAGACTGATCAACTCTGACTTATTAAGGACACTAGAACCCAGAGTTCCTGCTTTAAGTGAAAAGGGATACAAATATGGAAAGGAAAAAGGTGGGATGAACCCAGTGGATTAAAACTGGAGGTATAAGGGCCAGTGGAATAGCTCAACAGATAAGCACCTGCTTAGGCAAGCGCAGGAACCAGGATTCAATTCCCAGCAAAACAGGTTGCGAGAGCCTCACCCCAGATGTACTAAACCAGCCACCAAGTTGGGGGTGGAGGGATTATGCCTGTATTCCCAGTGCTAGAGAGGCTGAAAACAAGAGGATCACTGAGTCCAGGCTGCATAGTGAGACCCTGTACCAAACACATTTTTTTAAAAAAACAGAGTTATAAATGGAATGACAGGATTTCAAGACTACAGGCATAAATGTGTAGTGTATATGAACAGTATA